AATACTCATCGATATGTCTTTAGAAATTGAATTGATCAGCCATGAAAGGACCACTGCATTGCATTGATCCCATTGGGGATGAAGTCGTGGGTCTTGACCGTCTCTGGTGCAAGTCGTATCTATAATTCCGATCTTGTACTTGGCTCGAAGTGCCATCTTTATGGCTCTACTCTAAATCGCGTAATTGGTTGCAGCCGGTGAGCGGCTGTGCCACCAAAGCCGTCGTCCTGGTGTCTGAAGAGTGGAGAAACAGTGAATGGTTGAGATCGAGAAGTGAAGGAAGGAGATTCAGATTGGCTTCTTTTTGGTTTGCATGATTGCACGATTGAGGCGATTGAGATCTACCAAACTGAGTGACCGAGACGATGACAATGACGATGACGATGAGTGAAGTGAAAGAATTGGGCAAGGCAATGAAGACGATGATAAAGCGCGGCGGAAGAAGACAAGTCTTTAGGGGTTCGAATGGAAGAACAATTCTTGAGCGTATTAAAAAAAAAAAAAAAAGGGTCGGGTCAGGAGCACAAGCTCTGGTTCCATATATGGAAGACTAGATTAAACTGAATAATAGAATAATACTTATTGTGGCCGAAACGAGCCCAGAAAAACTAAGCTCACGTACAATAAGAAGGCATTATATTATTAGAGCCTAACCTGAAGAGATACAAGAAAAGCAAATTAAGAAACTTAGGCCCTGACCCAGATTTACAGGCCCAAATTACATAAAACACCGGTTACAACAATAAAACCCAATTCACAAATATTTTCTGTACAAAGCAACATAAACTTACAAAGTTTATTAATCAAATATATCAATCATTCAATATATACTATAAAATTTGTGAGATAATCATACATAAGTGCAATTCTGTCTTCGAACTTAATTTATAATAATATATGGAAAAATTTATTAATTGGAGTATAAAAAGTCCAACTAATTAGACTTTCAAGATTTTTCCAACTTGTATATATTGTTGCTCCCTCTTAACTCCAAATTAAATAGACTAAAAATAATCATCCACCCTTTTTTCACCATGAAAATATATTATTACTTTAATTATAATCATAGCATTACTTAAAATATTAATCATTAGTTTGGTCAAATCATTACCTAACAACACTATCCAATTGCAATTCATCACTTTTTGTCTATTCCTCGGTGGTACTCACCCTACATTATTTTATATGATGAGAGTATTGGAATAAACTCTATTTCACATTAGGGATTTTTTTTTGGGGGTATAATGAGGATAAAATGTAGATATTTTTCAAATTTTCTTCATATAAAAAGAAGGATATTGAATCTTTAACAACTAGCTTATAAAAATGAGAATTCTTATCACGTAAGTCACCTCAGAAAAGAACAATATTGGAGAAAATTATTTATAGTTAAATTCAAGTTTATCTAGTCAAGAACAAATTACTAAAATGAAGCGCATTGCATGCATGGAAATAAATTATGGATATAAAGACGATATTTGTGACGTATAACAAAACTAGCCAGGTGTTAAAGTCACATAATTGTGCTCCATTTGGACTTTAATAATACTTAAATTTAGATTGATCAATAATATCAGATAGGTTGTTGTCAAAGGAATATATCAAAATTGTTATTTTTTTTTTATAAAAGATTACTAATTGATAGACCTATCGGGGTTGAACCATATTCACAATGATTTTACAAGGTTTTAGAATGATCACGCAAGAAAATATCTTACCTCCTAGGAACCAAGAATTCATGATGTGATCCTCGTGGCATATCAAATCATCAAGATATTTAATGTTTTTTTTTAAAATAAATTATAAATACCAATTTAAATAATTAAAAGTCATGAGTTTTAATTATAAAAAAAAAATTTAAATTTTAAATATAACTCTCATTTTATAATTGAAATTCATTTATATAATTGTATTTCAATAAATATTTACGACTAATTTATTAAAAAATTTACCGAAAACTTAACGTTATTAATCCTTCATTTTAGATTTCACTATCATTTCAATGAATTTCACTTTGGCGCGGCAGCCACAAGCCTGCTTGCTTTTTCCTTTTTTTTTTTTTTTTAAAAAGTCTTCGAGAGCCACAAGGACCACAATTGAATGTGGATACTGCATAGACTGACGTAACTTTAATTTTTTAAAAAATTAATTATTTAATTTTATAATTTTAACTCAGTTATAACTTAATTTTTAATCTTAATTCATTACAACTCAATTCCTGAAATTTTGACTCGAATGTAAATTAATCCTTAAACCTTATTTTTTACAATTTAGCCTTTGAAGTTTCAACCAAAATATTAGTCCTTATATTTTAAAAAATAAAATTATAAAATTAAAAAATATTTTAAACTTTTATAAATATTAAAAGGGGTTTGATAATTTAAATATTAGTAATAAATTTTAAAGTATTTTTAATCTTTATAATTTTATTTTTTAAAATATAAGCATCAATATTTAAGAGGTTGAAACTTTAGAGGCTAAATTACAAGAGGTAAAATTTAGAAATTTATTTACAATTGAGTCAAAATTTTAAAAATTGAGTTATAATGAGTCAAAGTTGAGAAATTAAATTATAATTGAATTAAAACTACATGAACTAAATGATTAATTTTTTAATTTTAAAAGGAAAAAGAAAAAGCATAAATTTTATATATTTATTATGAGTTTAAGAAAAAAATTTGATGCGCGTGATTTAAAAAAAAACAATAAGTAGTGTAGTGTGATGTTAATTAATACTATCTAGATTAATATAAGAATCAATTAATCAATCTATATACTAAATATAATATTTATGATAGATATTGCACTGTTCATAAGGTTCATAAATTATAAATAAAATATTTTTTTCTTCACACTTCATAGTTCTGGGAAGCCACATGTGTCTAGTTGCAAAACTAGGTTATTGGACAATTTTGTAATTTCAAAACACACGCAAATTGTGTCTTTTCCAAAACCATGGCGTCCACTAATTCTGTTGGCAATAAAGTAGCTTTTGGGTCAAATCATATATTTCAATTCTCTACAAATGCATTTCCTCCACATCTTCTTTACCTGAAATTTTCAACAAAAAAAAAAAAATTGATAAAGTGAGAGAGAGAGTGAGTGAAAAAGGCTAACAATAAATCTACCCGGATGAGATGTAAAAGTATTGCCACATTCAAACTCCAAGGCAACCCACTCAACTTACCTAAATTTTTATACCAAAAAAAAAAAAAAAATTCAAGGTCGCACATGCGCGTCTGTGCACATATTAATCAATATATCATTTCAAATTATACTTTATATTTTATTTTAAATTTTTAACATAATATGATAATATTATGAGCAAAGGTTTATATACTTAACCTTATATATTTAATATATTTTTATCTAACTAAATTAAAATATGTGAATTTAATGTATTAATAATATTAAAAATAAAAATTTTCATAGAACAAATAATTTATAACGTATTTTGATTTAATTAGAAACAAGCATTTAACATATATAAAGTTAAATATAGAATTTTTCCTCTAATATTATTTATGTTTTTTTGGTATAATATATTATATGTGTTTTTATGTGTGTATGACTGTCTATATAATTTTATATTTTTTAAAAAATTAATTTAAAATGAAAAAAATTTATATTTTAATATTAAAATATTCTTGTACAAATATTTGATTTTCTGGACAATTTTGAAGTAAAAATAATTAAGTACATATGTCAACTCATATTATATATAATACTTCCTTCGTTTAAAAATGTAAGATATTTTTGAGGAGTTAGATGTTAAAAAATGTAAGGCATTTTTAATCTTTTAATGTTTAATCATTGTCTTTTTTTTTTCAAAAATGACCCTATTGATGAATGACTTTATATTTATTATAGGATATTTAATAGGAATAAATATGAAAAATAGGTTTAATTTAAAAGTAAATAACTACTTTATTGAGGGGTGAGATTCGGTTAAAAATACCTTACATTTTGGGTGAAGGGAGTAGATTATATATATTATTTAATAAATACTATTATTTATATAATTAATATACATATAAAAAATTATTTGGCTACCACATTCTAAAATTTGTTTGATTTAATGATTTATTTAAATTAAAATATATATTTTTTTAAACTAAAAATGTTGCATGATTTAAAAATTAAGAGAAATTAAATGCATATGATGTATTCTATATTAAATATTATTTGTGATTCATGCTAGAGATTATATATACACAAACTTTTTGACTATGATTTAATAAAGTATGGGCGTACATTTTAAGTACTTAATTATTTGTCGCCCCCAAATATTCTAATGGGAGTAATTTCTGGCATAGCTTTTTATGCATGTTACGACAATCAATCATTTATGCATTTGTACTTGGTGGCCATTGCGCTCGAATACTTTACAACTCTAATACTATTTATAATATTCCAATTTGTTCTTTTAATTCTGGTCCAAAAAATTTGTTCTTTTAATAACTAATTTGTAAGATCTTACGGTAATGAAATAATATAATTTTTTAAATAAATAAATAAATAATAAATAATTTATGATATTTTTTAAAAAGAGAAAACTTAAAATTTAGCCTATATCCTTGGTAGGGTACTTGTTTTTTATTAAATAAAGACTTGTGTATCATTCATATATTATTTATTTTATAACAAACTCTTTTATTAAAATTATCAATACATTAAAATTCATTTATTTAATTTGATTGAATAAAAGAACATTAAGCTTTTATATATATATATATATATATATATAATGTTAAGTACTCAGACCTGCTCTTTTAAAAATAGTAAAAAAAAAAAACAAATTTTACAATTTCATCAGCATAAGATATCAATTAATTGGAAAACATCAATGTGGAGTGGAGTTGACCCCATAACAATTAATTTAATTAATATTAACTAATTATAACTGAATTATTAAGTTATGCGTCAAGTCATCATCTGCAGTAAAAAAAAACCCTAATCAACAATCCAATAATTCAACAAATTAAAGGACCAATAGCACATTTAATTGAACTCATAATTAACGATGATATTATCGAATTTTCTTCCAGAAATCATGTATAATAGTCCAACACACAAATACATATACGACACATGAGAGGATGAGAATAATCCTCTAACAGCCACAGAATTATTACAATCACCATATAATATGTGTAAACGGTGCAATATTCCACAAATCTAAAAAAAAAAAAAAAAGTCAACACAGGCTCTAATGAGAGATTATGTCTAAAAAGGATGAAGAAAAAGAAAAAAAATTGTATATGGATTCACCATGATACTACTAAATAATGAAACAGTGATTGTTTATTGGTATGTATGTATCATCATGATTATTCTTTAAGAAAATGCCAAGGTCCTGTTCCTGTTCCCATCCTGCAATTTCAAGTTAATTAAACCAATTATTAGCACTTAATTAAATTAAATTAAAGCACAGTTATCTTCGTATATATTGATTCATAAGAAACATAAGAAAAACAAACAAATATTGAGATTTTAATTTCAAAAATGAGAAAATAAATAATACATACCTCCAAAAACCAGCAAGCATGCGAAGAGCCATATATATAGTCAAAGCAATCCAGATGCCAAGAAAACCTTTGATCTTATACATCAAAAATTCTATTCCAATGCTTACGATCGAAACCATTACCTGATGATGAACAACACCAATTGTAAACGTGTATGTATCGACATGTACAACAACAAAACAACATCGTACTCTAATGTAATTAATCAATCTTAATTATTTATATGTTTTAATTTCATATATATGATTATAGGGTGTGTGAAACTTGCCAAAGAAGTTGCGGCATAAGTAAAATCAGAAGCTCCATAGTTGACTCCATCAAACACAAACGCTAATGCATTGATTGGTTGTGTTGCTGCTGCAAACTGTCATTATTAAACACAACATTTAGTTACACGCGTTCATACCATGACATGTATGATTTTGAGTTAAGAATTGGTGCTTTTACATAAAACATTATTTTGAAGTTTATTAATAAGTAAGAATATATAAAAATTAAAGGAGCATATAATTACGGGGAGGCCAACTCTGATGAGGTGGAGAACACTGAGAGTTTTGGAGAAGACGACTGCTCCGAAGTATAATCCTATTCCAACAACAACAGACAGCACTGCTCCCATCACAAAAGAGATCTGCACTCACAATCATATCCAACAACATTTATAATTAACAACATATATAATTCTTAAACATATCAAATATCTATATATTGAAACAATCTAACTTTAGTGATGATCAACGAATCCATCAGTTTCTAATAAGACTTAGTAGATATCATTATAATTACCTGCAGAACCCTCACGGCTGCTACTTTGGCCTTTTCATAGTCTTTCTCCGCAAAAGAACATGCTAGAATTGCCTGTCATCCAACAAAATTAAAGTGATCATTACCAAAAAAAAAAAATGGTGGTCACTCTAAATTTTATGGTGCACCAATCCAAGATGTACTATTTACAAGCTGTGAATATCACTTTTTTCTCAAATTTTATACAATTTCAAGTTTCATATTAAGACTAACTTTATTCAATATGAAATTAACTCAAGTCAAGTTGATTATTATATATGGTTTTAATATCACTTATTAGGAAGTCGAAGAGTTGGTAATGGGGGAGAGAATAAATGGACAATGAAGAATGAAAAAAATTACACATCTTAACTCAAGACTTTGACTCAGCAAAAGAACATGCATGTAATATTGTCTGTCATCCAACAAAATTAATGTGATCACTCTAAATTATTGTGTGCACCAATCTAAGATGTACTATTTACAAGTTGTAAATAGCATATCACACTTTTCTCAAACCAAGTCATTTTTGGCTTTGCCACCACTTATAAGGGACCGCGCTAAAAATAGGGAGAGGGAACAAATGGCAAACAAAGAGTAAAAAGACACCTATCTTAATTCAAAACCTCAAAGTAGCCACATCAATTCAAGTCCATGCATGCTTGGACGTTCCAACATACACGGACTATTTTGTTTGCGAACACGTGTCTAAATTACCTGAATAGCAACAGCTAAACCATCGGAAAGAAGGGAAGACGTCATCCAAACTTGTTGACAGGTTTGGAAAGCAGCCATTGTAATAGGACCCAACCTCGCTGCTAATGATGCAGCAAATGTCACACAGAATGTTACTGCTATTACTCTTGCTAACAATAACCCTCCTGCACACACAAATAACTCAATTTTTGTCTTAGATTTTGTATATAGTAAAATTATCCATATGTTTTCACTTATATATTAATGATTAATTTAAGATTCTCACCGTTTTTCAGGAACCGAAAAATTTGCAAATCCTTAATACTAGGAGGCAAAAGATCAACTTTTTTCATCAATATCAGCAAGAGAGCTAGTGCCATCAAGTACCTGTGACGGAAAATTAAGGTTACCATAGTTATCAAAGTAATTAGTAATGGAATATAATAAGGTATCGTTATTCTTGCAATTATAATAATGATAAAAGATTATTAGGATGATTAAGACTTACTGTGAGATGACATGGGCAACAGCTGCACCGTTGAGTCCTAACTTGCAGTAAAATATAAGTACTGGATCCAAAGCCACATTTAGGGCATATCCAAGCACTAAACCAAAATCAACAAATATAATTAGAGGAGAAAAAGAAAGAAAAATTGTGGATTTCTTATTTTCCCTTTTTAATTAGCGCAACAAATGGTGTCTTATTACTTTTTAAATTAATACTTAATGATTGTTTATATATATATATATATATAAGCTATATATTTATTCAATTCAGATCACAATACAGAAAATATATTGATAGGAAATTATGAACCTACCAATGACATATAAGGGAGTTTTGGTGTCCTTGAAACCCCTGAAGATTGCTTGCATGGCCAAAGCCAGAAGAACAGCTGGAGCCCCTAGTGCTCTCAATTTCAAGTACTTTTCCGCAAGAATCAGCATATCAGACCCCTAATATTAACCAAATTCAAATCATTGTTCAAATATCTTTATTATAAGTCATTTATAACTAACTTGCAAAAACTATGAAAAGTTAGTAGGTTTTATTATTGAAATTGTCTAATACTTGTGTTGATTTTGATTTTCAATCCTAATAAATACTATAAATTTTAAAAGTAGACATTCTTTATCTCATCATTAAAATTGAGAAGAAGGGCATATTTCAAATAAAGCATTTAATGCTACGCAAACTCTTAATTACGAAATGACTTATTTGGAACGACAAAATTCTTCTAGAGGGAACTTAAATATATGACTAAATGAAGTAGTAAACTTTATGAAAATTCACATTAATCAAAAATTAAATAAATATATAAAAAAAATGTGTCTAGTTATAATTGAAGAAAAAAAAATACAAACTTACTTGTTTCGCACCCATAGCAAGTAAAAGAGGTTTTGCAGCAAAAATAAGGATTGATGCTTGAAGGAGACCAAGAATTGTCCCAAATATTAAAGCTGTTGATGCTGAAGCTATTTGTCTCTTCTCGTTCTTGCTCTTATTCTTACTACTTGCAGCCAAGGAAGAAGACTTGGACGTGTTTTTGTTGATATCTGATAATCAATAGCAATTAAAAGCTTATAAATAATGTTATTTATACACACATACACACATATATTGACACGGTACTATGTATAGAGTGTTATTATTACTCTTATTCATTTCCATGTTTGCAGACGCAGAGTTTCCCAAATTACTCTCATCATTGTCTGTGTTGGGTAAAGCTTTTTCAATGTCTGTAATTTTCTTGAGAGTATCTTCTTCCGCCACAAACGATGTAGTGACACTGACCAGAGGGAAAATGGTGATCCTTGAAGCTTGATTGAACAGTGTTATGGAAATTCCAGCAGCAGCAAGTTCCACAGCTCCTATATATAGATATGAACAGTGTTATGTATTATATTCAATATTCATGCTTAGTTTAACACACACGCACACACTTCTCAAGAAGCATTATTTTTTATTTTAGGCTTACGTATGTACGTACATACCTAAGTGACCTATAAAAGCAGTGTCAATGAGAGAAGCGATGGGATCAGCAGCCACGGCCAAAGCAGCTGGAAATGCAATTCCCAGTAATTCCCGACCAATTGAATCCAGCCTCAACACTTTTCTACACTCACAACATTCATCCTCAAACACATCAAATTTAGTATTCCTCACTATATACAGATATATATATATATATATATAATTATTCTCCTGATCAATCCGAAGATGTTAAACCAGCTTCATATATATGTACGTACTGTGTGTATGCAATGTAATGTAGCCCTCACAAACAGATGAATCAATGCATGCATGAACCAAAAGCATTGGACAACATGGTGTGGCCATGAATGATGAGTTGGCTTCTCTTTAAATAAGAACATGGTTTAAGATTAAATTGATGGACAGTGGACGATGATGCAATCTATAATAGGTACAAGCTGCAGCTAGGTGTGGTATATATACCTGGCATCTTTGAAGAAAACAAGGAGAGGCATCTTCCATTTGTTGCCATGATTGTCTGCCATATATATGTTTCTATCAGAAAGAGCTTCTTCTTTCTCTTCACAGTACTGCTTGCTTCAGATCTTTCAGGTGAAGAGAAATCAAAGCCAAACAATCTGCAAGATTTAAGTTGTGTATAATATAGGGGTTAATCCATATTCATAGATCAGCATTTTTGTTTCTAGTTTATTTTAAATCCTAGGGTACTTGTCGTAATTATCTCTCCAGCATTCAAAGTAAAAAGTATTAACCTAGAACACATAGTTTATCACCAGAAAAAAACAGAGAGGGAAAAGTGTAGGCCAACCTTGGCCATGAGTTTAAAGAAATTTAAATTTGTTGCATGCCAGCATGGTTAAATCAATTAGAAATTTTTAACCTAAAGCTGTGGATGAAGTATAGAAGGAAACAATTTAATTTAACTAAAAACTATTGGATGAAGCAGGAGGAAACAATATATTATAAAACCATCTCTCAGTGTGCATCAAAATCTGAGAAATAAGGCCTTTTTCATGCATGCGCACACATGCTGGTCATGTCTGTATGCACACACTGATATATACTCACAAATAAAATATCCAAAACATGAAATAATCAAACTTACACAGACATATATCAGCAACATCGATACAAAGATGGAATTAATTAGCTTGCATACCTCTCTAGCTAGTCACAGTATATGTTTTGATGATAATGCTCTCAGAAGAGTTTGGAACTTGAACTCTCCTTTGAACACTAAGCTCCCTTTTGCTTTCTTCCTTCTCTTACACACACAAAAACCCCACACACCACAACAGATATTTATAGACACGCTCGGGCGCGCACACATTCACACACAACTCTACTTCTCTTCTGCACTCCTAATTAAAATGAATATGTTAAAGCATGCGCATTAGAGAGAGAGATGGTTCATCTCCCATGCGAGGTAGCTTGAATAGAGATAAGAAGTATTATATAATTGCAAATTGATGGAGGATCAGTAATAATTATTGAATCAATGCATATTAGACAAGACGTGTATATTCTGATACACCTTTTACAACAGACTTTTTTCTGATCTGTTATGTTGAAGTTGTCTTGCAAGCATCTAGTAATATATTGTTCTAGTTTAGGCTACAAGTTATAGTGCCATTAACTTTCTTTGGAGTTGAAGAGTTTGTGCTCTTATTGGGGCTACGTAAGAGTTCCAATATGAATCACCACACCTAAAACTTGGAAATTATTCTTTAGAAGCTAATCTGACCTAATTTTTGTGTCTAGAGATTATATAAATTTCACTATTAATGGGCACTAGCTATATATACCACACTAGCACTTGTTTAGTTGTTTATCATCTTACAACTCTACGTAGACTTCTCACTTCACTATATATACTTTCTCACTTTGAATTGTGTGCGTGCTTGTGTGTGTGTGTGCTCAGTGTTTTTTTTTTTAAAGGAAAAAAATTAAAAGGAGGGAAGACATGTGGTGATTATCATCTGACATTTCTTTTCTTATAAAAAGGCTAAAGAAATAGAAATCACTTTGCACAGTACCTGATGAATGTCCCAAATTATAAACCTTGCTATTATTGACACTTTCGTGTGGCTTCCACGAGCTTGATTATATTGTTTTTGTCATCGCTTTGTTGGAAAATTTTATTTTATGGGTTTACATTAATTGTTGTTTTTTCCTAAGGGGGGAAAACAGGTTATAACTTCCTGTTTATTGAGATGTTGATTTGAAATCCAAAGTTACACGATATGATTATATAGTTACTGAGCTAGACCCAGACACACCATTTTAATTAAGTATGATATAAGGTTAAATTGTTTCCCTCAATATCTATAATCTTTGTTGCGTGCCTTTTCAACTAAAAACAGTATAGCTTCTATAGCGCATATATATATATATATATATATAGGAGGACTATTTAACTTTGACTTGTAACTGAGGATGATAATATCGGGTGTACAACTTTATTTGTATTTGTACAATTCCATGTTTTATCCTATACAATATATCCCTATTTATCAATCTAATAATTAATTAGATCTCAATATGCTTTGCCTAATCCCAAATTTAAAACAAAACGAAAATAAAATTCAATTTCGAGGATGACAACTATGCCCAATTTAATGTTAAGAAAGAAGTCAAAAGGAAAGGAAATATCTTTCAATTCCTCAATTAGCAACAATATTGTTAGGAACTTTGGATGGAGATGGCACTGTTGATGGTACATTTTCTCTTATTAAATGAGAAACAATAAATAGAAGTTTAATTTGGACTAAAATTAATCGATACAATGGGAAATGTATATCAATGGAAAATTAGAGTCTACAAACATATAAATATAATTGATATTTGAATAAGAACAATTCAGTTTTTATAATTTTTTGATTTGATATAACTCATCAGTCCCTATAAATTTTTAATTCAATAACTAATAACTAAGTGATATTGAGTCAAGGTTAATGCTAAATTGACAATTGAGAGAAAATATCCAGGGACTAAAAATTATATTATTTCTCAATTTATAATAATAAAACATTAAATCATTGAACAAAAAAAAACTTGTATATATAGAAAGAAAAGAACTAAAGAGCAAGAAACACTAAAATAGAATCAACGATTTTTTATTCCATCACACATGATATTCTGAAATGTCAAGAGATGTTACATCTCCCACGTAGACTAACATGAACCTTCATTGTATTGGCCAGTCATTACCAACAAGGATGTCACGACTCACGAGTACGTTGGGAATCTCTTAAATTGTCATACTCTCTTTCATGTAAAAATATAAAATATTTTTTAAATAATTAAATATTTAAAAATATAAAATATTTTTAATCTTTACAAATATATTTATTATCTTTTTTTAAAAATACCTTTATTAATAATAATTTTATATTTATTATAAAATATTTAATAAAAATAAATATAAAAAGATAGAATTAATTTAAAAATAAATAATTATTTTATTAAAAAATAAAATTTAATTAAAAATATTTTATATTTTTTGAATAGGAAGTATTTATTTAGCACCGTATCAAAGGCATCTTTTAATGAAAGACGTGATGCCACTGTCTTCTGACATTTCTATTCTCAAAAGGCTGAAGAAATAATAGATTCTCTTGTAAAGTAAAGTGTATGATTGTGCCTAGTTTAAAATAGCAATATCCTATGTTACTTGTTTTCATCCGCTATTTTTCCCTCACCTAGTTTAAATATAATTCTGGTACAGGACATTATTACTGCTGCTCAGTCGCTGTCCTCTGAAGAAGAGTGTATGATTGTGCCAGATTGTGCCTTATATTATTGTTGCTTTCTTGTGGACGCCACGAGCCAACAATTCTTAATTATTTGGCCCCTTTACTTTTTTAAATAAATAATTACAATTTAACATTTATAATTCAAGCTACAAAATTATAATTTAGACAATTCAAAAGTATTAATACTAATTATGATCATAATTTAAATCATTAGTATGGGGTTGAATGTTTCAAAAAATATAAAACATTTTTAGTATTTTAAGGTATAATAATTACATTTTTTTAAAGTATCTCTATTAAATAAATTACTTTGTGTTTATTTTAGGATAAAATACTCTATTAAATATAGGTAAATATGAAAATTGAAGACAAGTAATTATTTTATTAGAATAAAATTTAATTAAAAATGCTTCATATTTTTTAATGGAGGGAGTAAATTACAAGCATTTAATTAATGCACTTTTAAGTTTTAATCATCATCAATAACAATATATATTTATATCACTTATGACACCTTGTAATTTTATTACAAAACCTGGATTTTTTAGTTGGATATAACACATATTTGTACATATAATACAATTTAATAGATGAATTTAAGTCGATATCTTTAAAATTAAACTACAAGTTATATTTTCTAGGATAAAAATACGTAATTTAAAAAAGTTGAAGATACAATTATACAATTTAATGATTTATTCAGTAAACTATTTATTCTGGAAAGATAGATGCCTAGATCTTCAATAACATTATATTTACATTCAACATTAGTGTATTCCTCCATCAGGTGTTAGTTTTAGTAAAAAAGGTTATGATAATTTACATATAAAATTTTAGATTTGGATCTAATTTGAATGTAGAAAACATTTTTTTTTAAAAAAATGCTACTCTCAATTAAATTAGATAATGTTTGAATTTAACCTAGTCAAATAATTATAAAAAAAAACATTAGTGCATGCCATTTGACCACAGCCATGCTTTTTTTTCCCCTCCCAATTCCAAGCACCAAAAGCTGCTTTGGAACACTTTCCTTCCATATTTAAACACATGGATAAGAATCTCCGCAAATTCAACAAATAAAAATTAATTTCACCAACCAAGTCTTGCACGCAAATTTACACCATACATTGAATTAACTAAAGATGCTCATCAAATTGTAATTAATTAATTAGAAAAAGTGGGATCCAAAAGATAAGAAATTTAAAAATAAAATATAAACATAGGGGGACGAGGAACAAATATATGGCCATGTGTCACGATGGTTAACTCTTCCTATATATGCCTTATTTAACTTATCTCGTTTTTCTTTATAAGTAAAGATTTACATAAGCGCAACATGTATCCAACCAAAACCACACAAAGTGAACACCATAACAAGGCCACCAGTTTGATTTATTATTAGAAGCATGCATGGATGATATGGAACTTTATTAATTTGGATTTGATGATTGGCCTAAATCTACTCATTTATTGAGTGTCTCTGTTATAGATATTAAATTTCATTAACATTTAAAAAATTATCAAAATTATGCACTCCCCTCTAAAAATTCAAAACACCTCTCATGCATGCTATCCCCTTCAAATAAATAAAATTTGAGATTTGATTGTTTCAGAATATCATATAAAAATTTTTACTACAACCAAAGATGTGTTTAACCAAGGTTTACTTTTGTCATGAGCCACAGCTTTAAACCATGGCTATGTACCCTTCCCATGGTTTTTGAAAACCATGGTTATCAATCGTGGGAAGGTTGCCGCGGTTTTGGCACTTAGATAAGCTATGGTTTTGTCACTGCCACGGTATCCTGAAAAAACTGTGGCTATTGCATTGAAAATATCTTCAGTAATTTAATTTATTTAATTTCATTATACTTAATTTTCTTAATTTATCATCTTCTTTGTATAATTTATATGACGGTTTGAATATTATCAGAAATTCCTTAATCTGTTTTGCATTTATTTTACTAAATTTTTATATTATTTTATTTGATTATAAAATATTGTTTCCGACCTGTTAAAAAAATGAAAAAAAAATAGTTAGAAACCCATTGAAACAATAAATTGTAAACCAGAATAAAAATGAAATTAAAAGAATAGTTAGAAACCTATTGAAACAATAAATTGTAAACCAGAATAAAAATAAAATTAAAAGAAAAATGAAGAACCTTATTAGATGCATCTCCTTAATTCATACAATGGGTGCGTTTGCAGAACGCCAAAAAAGAAGAAAAGTTAAGATAAATAAGGAGAGCAGGGTAGAGAGATGACAGAGAACGCCCATTCAGATGAGATAAAGACATAACAACAAAAGGGTATGTCAGCTAAGATGAAAAGAGAAATTAGATGAAGAAGAAAAGTTAAGAAAGATGAAGAAGAGATACGGGGATCACAAGAGAGCTTACCAGCTTTTTGGAGATGAAGAAGAGGCCATGCACGCAGTTGAAATGGAGAAAGCAGAAAGTAAGAAATGATAGGAATATGCAAAAGATTGAATTTGCCATGGTTTTTTAAAATTTGAATGCACGCAATATATATTAATGGATTATATTATAATTTCAGTTTATATTAA